CATATTACTGAGTTTTGTTGGATCATTGAACAAAACTGTTTGCAGTCTCACTGTTTGAAAGTCCCCTCTATATGCTTTAATTTTGTAACTTCAACAACTATTTCTTTTTTTTTTTTTTTGTCTTTTTTCTTTTTTATTGGTACCAGGGATCGAACTCACGGCTGCCTGCTTGCAAGGCAGGCGCTTATGCCGCTGAGCTAAATCCCCAGCCCCTCAACAACTATTTCTAAGATAACAATGTAATTTACTAGGATTTCCTACGGTTTATTTTTTCTGAAATTCTGTATAACTTGTACCCTTTTTGTTTTTTGTTTTTTTTCTTTTTTCTCCTTAAATAAAATTTTTAAAAAATCCTATAATCATCTCAATAGACACACAAAGGGCATTTGATAAAACTCAACATCTCTTTATGACAAAAAGGTAAACAAATGGGGTACAAAGAAACAACTGAAGGGGCTGGGGATTTAGCTCAGCAGCATAAGGGCCTGCCTTGCAAGCAGGCTGTTGTGAGGTTGTGAGTTCGATCCCTGGTCCTGATGAAAAAGAAAAAGACAAAAAAAAAAAAAAAAAAAAAAAGAAAGAAACAACGGAATGAGGAACAGCTTTCAAGCATTTTCTCTAAAACCTGGAGCATAGCAAGGATGCCCACTTTCAGCACTTTAATCAGCACAGTACTGGCAGTCCTAGCCAGAGCAATCAGGCAAGAAAGATAATCAGAAATGGAGAAGAGAAGTCCAACTGCTGATGCTTGAAGATGACAAGATTTTGTACACAGAAAACCTAAGTATTCTGCCAAAAAACAGTCACAATTAACAAACTCAGCAAAGCTGCAAGATACAAAAATCAACCCTCGGGGCCAGTAATGTTACTATACATGCCAATAGCTAATTATCTGAAACAAAATCAAGAAAGTGATCCCAATTATAATAATTAGAAATAAAAGAAAGTAAAACAAAATAGCAAGGAATAAATTTAACCAAGGAGGTAAAAGTGAACATTATGAAACTTGGTTGATCGACTGGATGAATTAACATTGTAAACATGTCCATACTACAGAGATCCACAGCTTTAGTGTAATCCCTATCAAAACACTGACATTCTTCACAGAACTGGAAAAAATTCTGAAATTTGTATGGAACCACAAAAACCCTAAATAGCTAAAGTACGAGGTATCATATTACTTTTAAAATATAGTACAGAGCTATGGTAATCCAAACAACATGGCATTGGCATAAAAACACACACAGATAGGGGCTGGGGATTTAGCTCAGCGGCATAAGTGCCTGCCTTTCAAGCACGTGGTTGTGGGTTCGATCTCCAGTACCTAGTTAAAACACACACAGACACACACACACACAGACACACAGACACACACACACACACACACACACACAGAGACAATGGAATTGAACAGACAGCCTGTGCCTCTGCATTCCACTGATTTTCAACAAAGGTTCTAAGAATATGCACTGGAGAAAGGTTAACCTTTTTAGTAAGTAATACTGAGAAAACTGGATATCCACCTGTAGAAGAGTAAAACTGGACCCAGATCTCACACACTAACAAAAAGCAATTTGAAATGGATTAAAGACATATTTCGCCTAACTTAAATGTCACACAGTATATACATGCATCAAAACATCACAGTGTCCATTCATACGCACAACTTTCATATTTTTTGGTATCAGTTAAAAATGCTTTTCCTGGTACTGGGGGTTGGAGTCAGGGCCTTCACACTGAGCTACATCCTCAGCTCCCTCTTTTTAAAATGTTTTCTTTTGAGACTCTCTCTCACTAACTTGCTAAATTACCTGGGTGATATTCTTGCCTTGGCCTTCTGGAGTGTTCATCTCAGAAGAGGCAGTTTAAAATTTCTACACATATTAACAGTGTCGTCACCTGACAACTTTTTTTTTTTTTTTTTTTTTTTTATCTTTTTTGAGACAGGGTCTCTATGCAGTTTGGGCAGGCCTTGAGCTCACTTTGTAGCCCAGGCTGGTCTTGAACTCCCACGATCCTCCTGCCTTAACCTCTCGAGTGCTGGGATTACAGGCGTGAGCCACCACGCCCGGCTCCATCTGACAACTTCTTAAACTTTCCTAGTGTGAAATAATTCCATAATTCCTACTTGTGTAAAGACACATTACATGAGTTACAGGTATAAAAATTCCAGGTAGAGAACACATTTAAACAAAAACACTTCTAAAAATACCAGAAAAACTCCATGGACTGCTCTTAATGTTCTAATTTTACACATTCAAATTAGAAGGCGCTGGGCATAGAGGAGGCTGAGACAGGAGGATCACTGTCAGTTTGAGGCCAATTTGGGTTACATAGTAAGTTTAAGGCCAGCCTGAACTATATAGCAAGACTCTGTCTCAATCAATCGATCAATCAAATTAAAAGGAATCTTTAGGAGCACATAGAAGGTAAGTGGTACAGGATTCAAACTTTTACCTGACTTTTCCTGTGCTCCTACTTTTAACCACTATGCTGCTTTATGTGTCTTTAAGCCATAAACTCATAACACCTTACTATACAGAAATAACTGGCAATGCTAACAAAAATGTAGGCATAGTAATGCTGTAAACATGGCAACATTTCCATATGAAAAACAACAAAAATGGGTTGGGTATGGTGGCATGTTTGTAATTTCAGCACTAACCAGGATGGATGAGGCAGGAAGACATGAGCTGGAGGGCAGACTGGGCTCTATGAGCTCAAGGCCAGCCTGAAGCACACAGTGGGACCCTGTCTCAAAAAAACAGACAAATAAAGCCAACTAACAAACCAAAGCCCAACAAAAACAAAAACGGAAACATCTTTTCCCTTCCTTTTTGAGCAAGTATTTATTGGGTACTTACAACACAGGAAGCATTATTCTAGATATTAAGCTACAACAGTGAACAAAACCTGTTGCTTGTTTGTTAGTTTTGTTTTTGTTTTTTTTGTCTTTTTCTTTTTTATCGGTACCAGAGATCGAACTCGTGACCGCACACTTGCAAGGCAGGAGCTTATGCCGCTGAGATAAATCCCCAGCCCCGTTTGTTAGTTTTTTGAGTATCCTTATATACAGATCAGGCAGGCCTTGAAATCTCTATGTAGCCCTGGCTGGCCTTGAACTCATGGAGATCCTCCTGCCACAGCCTCTGGAGTACTGGGATTACAGACATCTCCCCACCCCCAAACCTGTTTTCTAAGAAGTTAGAATCTAGATGGCAGAGGAGAGAAGGTGAAGAGGACCTAGGATCAAAGGTTAAACAGGCTTGGTAAACACTAGGAGGAAAGACTTGGGAGTGTGATGGGAACATATGGAGAACACCTCATCTAGGGAGAGAGCTCTGCAGAGAAGCAAACACTTGGGGTAAGACCTATAAAACAACAAGAAGAATGCAGCCAGAGCAGAAGTGAAAAGCCACAACCTATATAGAGGCATTGTCTATTGAAAAGATAAGAAAGAGGGCTGTATCTGGAAATGGGTTCTCATAATGCTGAACCCAATGACACGAAGAAAGACAAAGTAAAAGAGAAAAAAAGCAGGAGAAGCATGTAAGGCTCGGATATTTTTAATTTCATTTTTTAACTCTTTTTGTTTTTTCAGTCAGGGTCTCACTCTACAGTCTAGGCTGACCTTAAAGTTGTGTGGCCAATCTAGCCTTGAACTCATTTAGCTCCTGGCTCGGCCTCCCAAGTGACAGTATGATAGGCATGTGCCATCGCATCCAGGAAAGGCTCAGTTCTTGAAATGCCTCATAAGCTGGTCAGAGAGTTTAACGTTTCTCTTAAAAACAAGAAGTGGCTGGGGATATAGCTCTGTGTCATAAGCACCTGCCTGGCAAGTGCGAGATTGTGAGTTTGATCCCTGGTACAAACAACGGGGAGAAGTCACTGAAGGACTCTAAATGGAGAGTCAACTAATCAGTTACAATTCCACACTTAGAAAGATCGTTGAGTGCAGTGACGCTCAGCTCTGGGTACATGTCTTCTGAGAAGCTCTTGAAGCTTCTCTTTTAGGGGCAGGGGTGTTGTGGACTAAAAATCTCTGATGCCCAGAGACTGAATTAGCCTGAATACATATCTGTGAACACACAGGTACTTTAAGAGAGCCTGAGTGAGTGGTAAGGTGGCTACCAGGCTCCAGCAGTGACATACAGAATGGCTGGAGAGAAGCAAGAGCCATGGCTTCATGTCATTGTAGTTCTTTCTAGAATTTCACACTAATGATGCAGCAGGCAGGCTTCTGTGCCGGACTCCAAGACTCCTTCACTCAGAACAGCAGGCCTTGCCCATGTTGGTGCATTGTATTGATACTTGCTCTTTGTTACTTAGTAGCACTCCACTGCATGGTGGTACTGCAGCCGTGCTCATCCATTTACCATTTACTTGAGCTACTCCCAGTCTGGGCTATTTTTAGCCCAGACTCTGTATGGAATTACAATAAGTACGTATTTAACTTTACAAAATCCTACCAACCCTTTTCCCTGTGGCTGTCCCATTTTGTATTCCCTCCAAAAGATATGAATGTCCCAGTTGCTTGACATCATTGACACTTATTGTTTGTTTTCTGCTTTTTTAAAGACAGAGTCCCAGCTGGGGGTTTAACTCAGGAACTCAGTGGCTTAAGCACCTACCTGGCAAGTGTAAGGTAGTGAGTTCAATCCCTGGTACCAAAAAGAAAGAAAGACAGACAGACAGGGTCCTGCTATGTAGTCGAGATTGGCTTTGAAATCATGATCCTCCTGCGTCAGCTTCCCAAGTCTTGGGATTACTGATGTGCACTACTACGCTTGGCTACAGGCACTGTTTAACACAGGCTAATTTAAAGACTTCTCAGAATTACTGATTTTTAAAACAAAGGTGAAATGTCCACGAAAATCTCTATATGTTGTAAGACTTATAAAACATATAGCTCTCTGAGATAGTAACATTATCCTTAAATTAGACAAAACAGCTCAAAGTTACCTTTTGATGACCTCTTCATTTTCTCACTGTATTCTTACCTGAGCTGCTCAATTTTCTCTGGTGTAAGAGGACTCTTCCCCAAAACCTGGTCTATCTCTTCATATAGTTTTTTTTGAACTTCTTCAGAAGTGGTTAAAAAATAGATCGTCCAAGTACATACTGTGTGAAAAATTAAATTAATAATAATGAAAACAGCTAATTCTTGGTTTGGGGCTAGAGTACAAAAAACAACTAATGGTCTTGTTTTGTTTTCCTCTTAATTTTTTCACCCCAGATACCCATGATAAATAAATGTTATAAATAAAACAGCATTTTTCATAGGATTTTTTTTTTTTTTTTTTTTTTTGGTCTTTTTGAGACAGGGTCTCACTATGCAGTTCAGGCTGGCCTTGAGCTCACTTTGTAGCCCAGGCTGGTCTCAAACTTGCAGTGATCCTCCCGCCTCAGCCTCCTGAGTGCTGGGATTACAGGTGTGCACCACCACACCCAGGTTCTTCTTAGGATTCTACATCACTGAATGGGATGTGAGTATTTATAGAATGAGATCATATGGTTTGGATGCTATCTTGTATCTGGCAAGTCTAATCACTTAATACATTTTATTTCAGACAAAACAGTAATGACATTTCATAGTTGAGGAACAGTCAATGCTAGTGATAGTGACGAACTACCTGTTTCACTCAACCTTATAAAATAAAAATATTATCACTAATAAAATGATTCACACAAATAAAATCAGCAGATTTATCTAAATACCAGTACTGCAAATGTGTCACTTATAACGGTAACTGTACAAGCTCCCAAAGTGTGACCAATTACTGCTTAGGACAATGATTCTAAAAAGCTACCCAGAGATGGCCAATTCCGCAACTTCGCATCCACAGATTCTCTTTCAGCAGGCTTGGGTTGAGGCCCAGAAATCTGTGCTTTTAACAATACGACTGCTGTTCTGAAGGGAGATCATTGGCTTGTGGCCTCTTTTTGCTTTAAACTGATTTATGGATTATATTCATGAGAGGAATGGAAATTTAAGAAAATTACATGAAGAACATAAAGAGAGGAAACGCAGTGGTTGTATTTCCTTTATAAATCCATTGCACCACTGAGCCACATCCTCAGACTTCCGCCCTTTTGGAATTTTACTTTGAGTCAAGGGTTTGCTGAGAATCTCACACTGGCTTCAAACTTGCAATCTTCCTGCCTCAGCTTCTAGTCACCTGCGATTACAGATGTGTGCCACTGTGCAACCTCATTACAGCTAAGCATTTCTCCCAGGAAACAACAGATGGGACCATCTGGATATACATACTATTTTTCCCTAGAATAAATTTAAACTGACACTATAGCTCTACTTTTTCTGTCAAAAACTTTTTAATATGCTGACGGTAATTTTTTTTTGCTAACAGTAATTTTTATCTCTACTTCCCAGTTATCTCTTTCCTGAGTGAATTTATTTTATTATTTTTTTGTGGCAGTGGGGGATACAATCCAGGGCCTTCTTCATGTAGAGCAAATGCTCCAACTTTCACAGCCTCCAAATGCAATGTTTTAAAAAATGTTTTAGTATCACTAAAATCAATAGCTATGTAGCACTCAGTTATTCAGTGACTGCTTGTCTGTAACTCTTTCCTATATGTGCTTCTTCCTTATGGCTTCAGAGTGGAGCACAGAGTTTCTATTTAACAGGAAATATGAAAAGCTGTACAAAGCACAATATGTAATATGATTTTATAACCTATACTAATATACAACTGAAGGAAATAGCACAAGGGTTGCATAGAATAACCGTTAATATACTCTGTTTCACTCTATCATCACTTAAATATAACCACTTATGTTTTGTGCTTTTACTTTTTCTATCATCAGTAAATGTATGACTGGAAACAGCGATAACAGTGTAATCTGAAGAACTTTAATGGTGATAGTGGGAACTGAACCCAGGTCCCTGAAAACGCTAGGCAAGCACTCCAACTCTGAGCCATATCCCCAGACTCCTGCCCTCTTTGAACTTTACTTTGAGTCAGGGTTTTGCGGGGTTTCCCACACTGGCTTCAAACTTTCAATCTTCCTGCCTCAGCTTCCAACCACCTGAGATTACAGATGTGTGCCACTGTGCAACCTCCCCATTACAACTAAACATTTCTCTCAGGAAACAAACAGTGCAGATAAGTAACTTGCTCAAGGCTAACACTGACTAGTAAATCAAGAACTGTAATTAAGGTTTTTTTGCCTGTGCTGACTTCCAAAAACTTCAGAGGCATCCTGAATGGTCATTTTTTTTTGTGGTGTTCAAACCACAAAATTAAATTAGATCCTTTGAAGATCTTTAGAAAAAATATGTTTTTTTTTATAAATCCGTACTGGGAATCGAACTTACGATCGCCTGCTTGGAAGGCAGGCGCTTATGCCACTGAGATAAATCCCCAGCCTCCCAAAAATATGTTTTTAATGTGATATATTTTTTAAGCATTTTAAAAAGTAGAATACATTATTTCTGATACATGCTTACATAAATCACATTTAATTGTAATATCTGGAAGCGTATAATTGTACTCATCATTGTAAAAAATAGCTATAAATGAAATCCTTCATGTGAACCTACATTTCCTAGGTTTTAAGCCAATAGCCTAATACTAGATTTTTTTTTTTTTTTGTCTTTTTCCTTTTTATCGGTACCAGGGATCTAACTCACGACTGCATGCTTGCAAGGCAGGCGCTTATGCCGCTGAGCTAAATCCCCAGCCCCCTAATACTAGATTTTAAGCCAATAGCCTAATACTTCCTGTAAGCACTCTAATACTATTCATACATATAAACATTTTAATCAATGTTGTGTGAAACTTAATTTAATCAATGTTGTATGAAAGAATTTCACTAATCTAAAAACCAGGGAGGGAACTTTAGATCACTCATTTTAGAATTTAGATCAAAATCAAAATCGCCTTCAATTCCCTCCTGTAAGTCCTGACCCCTGTGGCCTCCATCTCTACCTGGAGCCAGGGCAAGCAGCGGGGAAGCGCTCACACTCAGCTGGGAAGGTGTCAACAGCAGTGTATTTTAAAAGCACTAATGAGAACTTGCAGCCCAAAAATGTGCCAAGACATTTATGGCAATTTTCAGAGGTGGTATCAAGCATGTGGGGTGAAAAAAGTGCACCGTGTAAATCAAGCTTTTTAAATGAGAGTAAGAAGCAAGAAAAAGATGTCATAGATAGGTCTTGCAAATAGTGTTTTTTTTAGAATAGCTTAACCCTTGCAAATCTGGTAATCCATTTGAGAAAGAAATCAATTTATACTTACATTTTGCAGTTATTATGCAACCAGCCAGAGAAAATATCATACTGTCTTCTAGAATCTAGGAAACAAAATTAAGTTTAGAAGTACGAAATGCTAGATCTTATTGAAATAATCCTATTAAAATAATATCAGGGTCAACCAAAGGGGAAATATACATTATTTCTTTACCCTGATTAATATGAAAATATAATATAAAAAAACCCCCAAACATTATATTGCCTTTTGGATGCAATAAATATTTAGTTGCCGGTAGTGTTACTGGATCATGCTATGCTCTGATGAACTGATTCAGTCCTATTTTCTGGCCTGGCTTGGTGAAGCAATGAAGCCTTGGGAATAGTAGAGAAGAGACTAGCTCTGTCCTTGGAGCCTGATTCAATTTGTGAACCAACACAGACCCAAAAAACCACTTCCAGTCACCAGGACTTGCATGTGCTAAATGGGTAGATTGCTATGGTGAGTGGATGTGGAAATGAGTTCATTCCTGTCCTGTGCCTGATAACACCATGAATGCAATGGAGCCCAAGTGGTAATAGATGGGCACCATCAACAAGCCCAGCTGCCAAAACTTGTGGGAATGACCAGGCAGGTTGTTTGGAGACCAAGCGGCTTAGTCTAGAAAGGCTCTTACAAATCCTTCTCTTTGGGGCTGGGGATTTAGCTCAGGGGCATAAGTGCCTGCCTCGGAAGCAGGCAGTCGTTAGTGCGATCCCCGGAACCAATAAAAAGGAAAAAGACCACAAAAAAAAAAAAAAAAAAAAAAAAAAGGAAAAGAAAACAGGAGCTGGGAATTTAGCTCAGCGGCATAAGCGCCTGCCTTGCAAGCAGGCAGTCGTGAGTTCGATCCCTGGTACCGATAAAAATGAAGAAGACAAAAAAAAAAAAAAAAAAAAAGAAAAGAAAAAAAAACACAAATCCTTCTCTTTTCCTCTTTTTTTTTTTTTGTCTCTTTGAGACAGGGTCTTGCTATGCAGTTCAGGCTGGTCTCAAACTTGAAATGAACCTCCTGCCTCAGCCTCCCAAGTGCTGGTATTACAGGTGTGCCACCATGCCTGGTGAATTGTTCTCTTTTATCATCAGAGAATTTGACCTCAGCATTTGTTTACCCAAATATTAAATAATATACAGCTGCCTCAAAAAACTAAATACTGTAAAAGTCAACCAAGTACTTAGTGCTACTTATGGTATACAATAAAAAAAAAGCTATTGAGTTCAGGAGGGATGTGGACTATAGGGAATGAAAAGTACATGCTACTCATATGGATTATTTTTATTTGATTAATATTTAACAGTTACATCACCTGTTGGTCATTAAGGTTTCCCTGTACTAAGGAGTCAATGAACGTATGTTGACTGAAGCTCTTTTCTTTGCGTTCTTTTATGATTTTCTTTAAAATCGATTCCAATTGACCAAGTGCTTTAAGAAAAACAAAAAAATTTTAGAACACAAGCATTTGTGGAGACGAAACTCTCTAAAATTAAACCTGTACAATGTTTCATGCGCAAAATAAAACCTTTAGAGATAATAACCAACAATTTTTTTTCAGGATTGGGGGTTGAACTCAGGGCCCCATGTAAACTAGGCAAGCACTACACCACTGGGCTATACTACCAGCCCAACAACCAACAATTTATAAACTCATCTAACTTTCTTCTCATCCTACTTTTTGTTAAATTTAAAATACATAAACCAGGCATGGTGGTGTAACCCTGGGAAGCCGAGGCAGGAGGATCACAAGTTTGAGCCTATCCCGGGCAACTCAGTAACTTAGAGAGATCTGTCTCAAAATAAAATGATAAAAAGAAAGGACTGAGGATGTAGCTCAGTGCAAAGTCTCTGGACCCAGTCTCCAGCACTAGAAAAAATACAAAAAAAAAAAAAAAAAAAAAAAAAGAGAGCACACAGAGCATTTAAGTACAGTTTAAGGCATACTTATAAAGCAAATAACCATGTCAATCCCACTCAGGTCAAGGAACAGAACAATGCCAGCAGCTGAGAGGACCTAAACATACAAGCTTCTCCCTTCATGGTATCCACTTCCTTTCTAAATTCTATGTTGCTAGCCTCTTCCTTCTTTCAAACCTGGTACTGCTCATGGAGGGACACAAGGACAGAAACAGAGGTGAAATAATCAGAAAAGTAGATCAAAAACCTAAAAGATCTGCTGCAGTCCTCACTGATGCAGTCAGCAATGCTCCCAGGACTGTGGATACCCCAGCCTCCACCCTCTCCTTCTGTCTTCCTGCCTGCTGCCCATTTTTTTTTTTTTAAATCTGTACTGGGGATCGAACTCACGACTGCATACTTGCAAGGCAGGCACTTATGCCGCAGAGCTAAATCCCCAGCCCCTGCTGCCTTCTTTTTGATTCCTTCTTGCTCTTGAATTATTTCCCATCTCCCCTTCCCTCCTCTCAGGATTGAACCCAGGGCCTCAAGCATGCTAGACAGGTGCTCTGCCACGGAGTTGGAGCTACAGCACCAGCCCCACAACCCCGGGCTTTTGAAACATGTTCTTACCAAGTTGCCCAGGATGGCCTCGAACTTGTGGTCCTCCCGTCTCAGCCTCCTGAGTTTCTGGGCTTCTTGGTCTATATATATTCGCTAACTTAGTGATCTCTCTCATCTCAAAGCTTTAAATTTTTTTTTAAAATTTTTATTTTGAAAGTATACAACAGAACAAGTCAGAATAAAGCCAACTAAGATCGTACAGTGAAATTGGTACAGAACTTCACAGCAGGTTACCGGGAAAATAGTAATAGGTATCACAGTATATTTTGTTATCTTTATAATAATTGTTCTTTCAATCCCATATATCAAAATGAGATGAAATATAGAACACTATAGAACTTATCAAAACAGAATATTGAATAGAGCAGTACCATTAATCAGAAAAGAGCAAAACAGTAATAAAAATATTTGCCTTCAAAGAAATGGTAGAAGGAAGTCCCCCTTATTTGCTATGGTCAACCTCCCAGGAGATGTTCAGATTTCTGGTTCCCACTTGCTAATGGACGGGGAGGGGGAGGAGAAGGAGGATAGGGGAAGTGGGATATTTGACTCTAGGCCATGTAGCAGTAGGTTCACTATTGCTAAGCAGGGAGGCAGAATGGTCATTTGTTTTCACAACGTCCTCATTTCCAACATGGTGTGGATCTCAGGAGACACTGCTGGTTCTCCCCCTGGAAGGGCTGCAGTCTGCCACCCTGCCTCCGCTTACAGGGAGGGGAGGTGCTTACTTGGCTTCCCAGAGTCCTAAGTTCCAACATGGCGTGGATCTCAGGAGACACTGCTAGTTCTTCTTCTTTTTTTTTGTCTTTTTCATTTTTATCGGTACCAAGGATCGAACTCACGACCACCTGCTTGCAAGGCAGGCGCTTATGCCGCTGAGCTAAATCCCCAGCCCCTGACACTGCTAGTTCTCCCCCTGGAAGGGCTGCAGTGGGCCACACCGCCACCACTTACCAGGGAGGGGAGGTGCTGGCTTGGCTTCCCAGAGTCCTAAGTTCCAACATGGCGTGGATCTCAGGAGAGACTGCTGGTTCTCCCCCTGGAAGGGCTGCAGTCTGCCACCCTGCCTCCGCTTACCAGGAAAGCTTTAAATTTATGTACCAAACAATTTCACATTTTTACTTCTAGTGAGAATCTTTTCCCCTGAGCTCTACATTCATATTTTTAACCACAAAGTCCACATCTCCACTTGGATGTCTAAAACACCTCAACATGAATGATCAGCTGATTTATCTGTCCTGTGAAATCTGGATCTTTCCATAGGCTTCCTTGTCTGACTTCATTTTCCAGTTATTCAGGCCTAAAATGTCCCTGTCCACCTCACCCACACTCTGCACTTGGTCTGTCTGCCAGTGCTGATGGTTCTATCTTCAGACACAGGATGGTTCTTTTTGTTGTTGTCTTTTATTTTCTGCTGTCTGCCGCCTGGCCAAGCCCCGTATTATTGCACTTCCATGAATAGCCACCTAAGCAGTCTATCTGCTTCTGGTTTGGACCCCAGCAGTCTACCTCAGATGCCAGAGCAAGCCTCTCAAACACAACTGAGATCTTAAACGCTCAGAAGCATCATAGCTCAGAGTACCAAGCCAGTCACATGGTGGTCTACAAGCCGTGTAAAGCTGTGTCCCTCCCTAGTCTTTTGACCTCAGCCCCTTCTGCTCCTCTTATTGTTCACTTTAGCCACACTGTTGTCCAGCATACCAGGAAGCTACCCTCCTCAAAGACTCTGCAGCCATATCTCCACTACATGGAATCCTCTTCCAGACATGACTGATTTCCCTTCCTCTACAACTATTAAAACATAATCTCACTCAATGGGGCCTGTCCTAAGAACAATTTAAAACTGCACCCTTGCACCCCAGCACTGTCCATCTCCATTCTGGTTCTACTTTTCTCCACAGCATTTCTTATCTTCTAACACCCCAGTTTACTCATTTAGATGACTGTCTCTTTCCACCATGTGTTGCTACAAGAGCAACAATTTTTTCTTTATTCACTGACATCTCCCCAGCACCAGAAACAATCTTCTACAAGCATTTATGGAGCTGAATGAATGTAACACGAGACATTTTAAACAACATAATGCAGCAGTACCTAAACTTTGCACTACATGAGAATCACCTGGGAAGCTTCCAGCAAAGCACAAGTCACACCTGACACCAGTTAGGTCTGATGTGCAGAGGTAGGAGCCAGGCTTCTGTACTTTCAAAATCTAAAAAGTACAGCAAAGTTCAGGGATTACTGCTGTATATTCTTCACACCACTGAGTACATCAGAGTAACTTGCAGAGCTTGTCAAAGATATCTAATGCCCAGGGTGTGGAGTAAACTCATCTTGTACAGCGTCTCATCTGCAACTTTTGGGTTAAGCCTCCCAGGTGACTCTAATGTGCAGAGCAGGCTGGGAAGTATTCACTTAAGCAAAGGATGCTCTGATGAAGCCATGGAACTCTTTCGATAGCAGAACCTGAGGCCTGGGACGCAGCTCAGTGGCACAAAGCTTGCCAAGTACGCTCTAGGCTCTGGGCTTGAGCCTGGCAAAAAGAAACCCATTTGCCATACAAGCTCTTTGCTCGTGTGACTGCCCAAGAACATATGCTAGACAATTCACTCAGATTTAAGACTCAAAAGGTATACATTATTTTCATTTCACATTAATTTAACCAGTATTTCTGAGGCACATTATCAAGGAAATTAATGTCAACACATTCAACAGCAGATGTCAATTCAATTGGCATTCTAAAAAACTTGTGTTGAATATCAAGAATCACTAAAATAGGAAACTGATAAGAACAGGGATTTTGTCTCCTTTACACAGAAGAGGGTGTGGTGCTACAAGGCCATAATCCTAACACATGGGAGGCTGAGGCAGGAGGATCACTGCAAATTCAAGGCCAGTCTGGACCCCTGAGTGAGTTCAGGACAAGCTTAGACTATACAGTAACACAGGAAGTCACAATTAAATATTTGTTAAAAGAATGAAGAGAATTCTGAAATGTAATATTATTATACTGTACATGGAAAATTACTGTTTTTTCTTAAATGTGGGAGGTTCTCATTATGTTTCACAGACTGGCCTTAAACTTCTAGGCTCAAGCAACCCCTCTGCCTCAGTTTATGGAGTAGCTGGGATAATAATGGGTGTGTGCCACTGTACTCTATTAGCTTATTTTAATTTACTCTGTGTGCTTCCAAAAAAAGGGTAGCACTCAGGAGGATGAGGTAGGAGGATTGCTGTGAGTTTGAGGTCTGCCCGGGCTTCCAAGTGAATTTAAGGTCAGCCTGAACTATGGAGTGAGACCCTGTCTCAAACAAAACAAACTAAAAGTTTCTGTGTATATTTTATTTTATTTTTTGGTATCAGGGACTGAACTCACAACCTCACATTTGCCAAGCAGGCACTTATGCCACTGAGCTAAATGCCCGGCCCTCTAGTAAATTTTATAAAGTAGGCATTGATGCCCAACAACTTCAAAAACATTTTTACTTAACATTATAATGGCAAAATTGTCTTTAGCATATGTACTGCTGAGGCAAGCACAAAGAATTTTTTACATTGCTACATTCTTTTTACGAGTACCTGTATAACATTTAATCATGCCGGACAGAGGGGCTGGGGATTTAGCTCAGCGGCATAAGCGCCTGCCTCGCAAGCAGGCAGTCATGAGTTCAATCCCTGGTACCGATAAAAAGGAAAAATACATTTAAAAAAAAAAATTCAATCATGCCGGACATTATTTCTTTAGCAATTCCTATAATGTGAGACATTTGATTTGATGTTGGTTTGCTATTTACAGAAACAGTATGACATTAAATAGTTTTGTGAATATTTTCTTCTTTAGGTAATTCATTATTTAGGATTCTTTATATGTTTTTTCAGTTGTTTTGTTTTGTGACAGGTTCTAAGTAGCCCAGGCTAGCCTACTGCCTCAGCCTCCTCAGTGCTGATTACAGGCATCCAGTTTCAAACTGCTTTTTTTGGACTGTACCCTTACATTTTCCATGAATCCTGTAGAGTATACTAATTCCACAATGAGTACTAGAAGTTTTTGTGCAACAATTTTTCTCCAAATCTTTTGTTAAAGAAAAACGTCCACTGTAGTAAATGTCGGGAAAAGCATAAAAAAAGAATTTATAAATGACCAATAATTTCGAACTAGAAATTTAGCTCAGCGGCATAAGCACCTGCCTTGCAAGCAAGCGGTCATGAGTTCGATCCCCGGTACCGATAAAAAAGAAAAAGACAAAAAAAAAAAAAAAACAAAATGACCAATAATTTCATCATCATAGATCACCCACTGAAACTGAGATACATGTTTTGGTCCTTTTTGAAAAATTAAGAGCGGCCAAACTTACCATCTTCATATGGTTTCTTCCGAGTTGCACTTTTATCAAGTGACCCATCTAGAAAGCCTTTTCCAATCTCAGACCAAACCTGGAAGCAGGAAGGTATACATATCCATTACTTAGTTTCCTAAATAATACAGAGCAAAGTTAGCCAAATAGTCAGGACTTCCTCTCCACCATGTCTGGTAACAGGCTCTGCTTGTGTAATGAATGGCTGTGACGGCTGACAGCCATTACTCCACAGTTATAAGGACAAAGTGCAATACAGTCACCTCCACTCACAAATTTGATTCTTTCTCCAGTTCTGATCCCAAACTGATTTGGATGTGAACCAAGTCAAATTGAATGGTTAGGTCCAGGTATGGCGGTGCACACTTGTAATCCTAGCACGCGGGAAGCTGAGGCAGGAGGACTGCTGCAAATTGAAGGCTAACCATGGGCTACAGAGTGAGTTCAAGGTCAGCATGAATTGTATAGTGAGACCCTGTCTCAAAAACAAACAAACACAAATTCAAGGGTTAGCTTCAATGTATGCCTTATGGGAAATTTGATTCAGTTCTTGCCAATTCAGTTTGTGCATAGTTGTGGAGAAGATTAAATTTGTGAACTGAGGTACCAATCTATATTCCAAAGATTTTAATTAAGACTTTCAAACTACATTTGGAAAGGAAAAAGTTCTTTGCTTAAAAGGAGTCAAAGTGGAGAGGAAAAAGAGTTAACAGCAGAGTGAGTTCTTACTTTGTCTCAAGTGTGATCATGAAAAAACACTAAAAAAAAAAAGTAAAAGCAAACGGGAACAGATAAAAATAAATAGCTCTTAGAGACCTGCAAGGAAAAAAACCCACATTAATAGAGATATTACAAAGTACATGAGAAAATATCCCACAATAGAAATACCAGTGTCTGGCAAAGTTTCAAAAACGTGGTACAGTAACATTAGTGGGAAAATAAGTGGGCAAGGTGTTTGGTGAGTATTCAGAGATCCAACATGGATTCATATGTGAGGGGACCTTTTTCTCACACTGTAACACCTGTGAAACCAGCATGCATCACATGCATGGTAACCTCTCCCCACTGTCACCAGCAGACAGACAGTTGTCACTGCTGCTGAACTCACCCTGGACCAGCATCCCTAGAGGCAAACCAGACAGGTCAAGCACTTGGTATTTCAAATATTAAAAGACCATTATCTGAGGCAGAATAGTAAGTTTTGTTTATGGTCTGAAAACTTTGACAACTTCCAATAACATTTTAAAAATAACATTTTTGGGGCCAAGATTTCGCTCAGAGGCATAAGCACCTGCCCAGTGAGCATGAGGTCATGAGGCTGATCCCTGGTGCCAAAATAAGTAATTAAAAAATAAAAAATAACACTCCTGCCCCCCAAAATACACTTCAAACTTACTTGTGAAGTAAACACATAAACACAAAGTAGGAGATTTCTACAAGTAATGGTCCTGTAGGCAGAAGGACTGCTGTGAGTTCAAGGCCAACCTAGACTACAAAGCGAGATCTTGCTCAAAAAACTAAAAATAAATAAATAAATAATTTTGAAAGACCTAGCAAGGGTTTCAGATTAAAGATGTCTGATGGCCAGCTGTGGTGGGCACACCACCTGTAACCCCAGAGGCTAAGTAAGGCAGGAGGTTTGCTATGAGCTCCAGGCCAGCCTACAGGAGATCTCACCTCAAAACAAACAAACCTTTGACAGCTAAAAGCAGAGTGACCCTAAATGAAGTCCAGGATTGGGCAGGGGAAGCGGTGTGGAGTATAAAAACCTTATTAAAAACTGAAAAAATGTGGGGGTTGGGGATTCAGCTCAGCAGCATAAGCACCTGCCTTGCAAGCGCGCAATCATGAGTTCGATCCCCAGTACCAAAACAAACAAACAAACAAACAAACACCATCCTAAAAACTTAAAAAATGTGAAGATGGCCCCGAATGAGTTAATAGTATTGTATCAATGCTGAACTTCCCAAGTTTAAAAACGTCACTACACAAAAAGAGTATCTTCATTACAAAACATACAGTGAAGTATTTAGAGGTTGAGGGTGAGAACGTCCACTTACACTCACATGGTTCAGGGAAGAGAGGAGGGAGGAAGGGATGGATGGATGGACAGACGGGCAAATCAGTGACAAAGTAAAGAAGACAAAATATAAACAAATGCTTAATTTGGGCAAAGGATATTCGGGTGTTCCTTGTTCTGGCTGTAACTTTTCTGTCACAATTGAAATGATTTCTATTTCAAAACTACATGGAAAGAAACAAAAGGAAAAAGAAAGGAAATAAAACATAAGAAGAGGCAGGACACGTATCAACACCTGAAGGCCTAGCTGGAGATGCAGCTCAGTGTAGAGTGCTTACACATCACACATGAGGTCCTGAGATCAATTTCCCAGTCTCCCACCAAAAAGAAAGAGCCAGGTCAAGAATAAACCCTCTCCCTGGGCATAGTGGGATATGGCTAGAAGCCTAGCTACTCAAGAGGCTGAGGCAAGAGGATTAGCCTGGGTAACATGGCTCAAAAATTAATTTTGAGAAATTTTGAAAATTTTGAGAAAGCTCTGTTTCAAAATTAAAAAAAAAAAAAAAGGTCGGGGATACAGATTAATAGAACCATGGGAGGGAGAGCACCTGCCTTGCGGTCAGTCACACCACCAAAACCAAAGCAGAAGCTCTCACCAAGGAAGAAACTTCAGGTGTCAGTAAACAAGTAAAACATGAAATGAAAAGACATATTAGGGATTCCCTAACCAATTAATTTCGCAGTCTGGATAGACACACTGGTTTACTCTGGGGAGTAGAATCTAATTACCTATTTTTGGTTCTTTGAGACCTGGTCTGCCCAGTAGTTCAGGCTGGCCTGGAATTCACTCCACAGCTATGCTAGCTGGCCTTGAACTAGCATCAACCCTTCTGCCTCAGTCTCCTGAGTGCTGGGATTAAAAACATGAGGTGCCATGTCCAGCCTGGGAAGTGGAATTTAAAATGATTTTCCACTTTGTTACATGTCTAGACGCACAAAAGTTTTTCTTTTCAATTTTTTTTAATTTAAAAAATATATATATAAAGGAGAGATTAAGATGAAAGAGGACATAAAAACAACACAGATCAGAACAGAACAATTTAAGCAACATAGTGTTTCACCACAGGATAACCTGAATAACAGTAGTTACCATAGTGTCTCTTTCCTTGAAATATTTGGTATACCTTCGTATACTATAGTATCAAACATAACAAAACAGTGTAAAACCATTCAAGAGGGTAAAAGTATTACAGGGTATTTGGAACCAACTAACAGAAAACAAACAACGGTTTCTAAATTATCTCCCTGTCTATAAAAAAATTTTGTTTATACTATCACATATAATAAAATCTAGGAAGATACAACATGATATAACCCATGCAGACAGAAGAACAAAAGCTTGATGGGACTTCAAAACAAGCTGATATTAAATGAGCACTAGTTATTATGATGTCTTGTTTTCTTCAAAATAACTGTTCATACCATCAAAGACAATAAAATCAAACACCCCAGAATAAAGCCATTCCAATTAATGAATGAAAACATTATAAGGCTTCAAAACAATATAAGGGGGAATCCTGATTGCCACATACTTTCATGTATTCTTACCATTTCTTACACTAGGGAAACTACTCGGGATTTATACATGTGATTTTGATTTATTTCACTTATGAGTATGGTCTCAAGCTGCGCCCATTTATTTATAAATATCTCAATGTAATGATTCTTTATAGCTGAATAGTACTCCATTGTATAAAAGTACCACAACTTTTTTATCCATTGCTCAGTTGATGGACACTTAGGTTGTTTCCAAGATCTGGCTATTACAAATTGTGCTGCTATAAACATGGGTGCACAAATATCACTGTGGTATGATGTTTTCAGTTCTTATGGGAATATGTCTAGAAGTGGAATAGCTGGAATGAATGGGACTTCCAATCCCAGCTTTTTGAGAAATCTCCAAACGACCTCCACAACAGTTGGACCAGTCTACACTCCCACCAACAGGGCAGGAGAGTTCCTCTTTCCCCACAGGCTCACCAGCATTTGTTGTTTGTAGTTTTCCTGATCCTGGCTATTCTTTCAGGAATAAGATGGAAATCTCAGTGTGGTTTTAATTTGCATTTCTCTAATGAGTAATGATGATGAACATTTTTTCATTTATTTATTTGCCATTTGTATTTGTTCATCTGAGAATTGTACATTCATCTCCGATGCCCATTTTTGGATTGGACCTTTAAATGTTGGGGATCTGATTTTTAAAAATTCTTGTTATGTTTTATACAGAAGTCCTTTGAGGGACAGTTCACTAAGATTTTTTCCCAGTTTGTGGGTTTTCTTTTTACTATGCTGGAGATTTCTTTTGACATGCAGAAACTTTGTAGTAAGACATAATCCCAGTTATTGATTCTGGGAAGTATTTCCCATACGGTTTGATTCCTGTTCATGAATTCTCTACCTACCTTTAGGTCTTAACCCAAATCTTCTAATAAATTTAGTGTTTCTGTTTTAATATCCAGATCTTTGATCCATTTAGATTTTAATTTAGTACTTGTAATAGGCATGGGTCTAGTTTTAGTTTTCGGCATATGGAGAGCCAGTTTTTTCAACACCATTTATTAAAGAGACTGTCGTTCTTTCAAGTGAACCTGTTTGGCCCCTTTATCAAAGATAAGTTGGTTGAGTGTGTTTGTAGTTGTGGTTGTATCTTCTAATCTATTCCGTTGATCTTCAACTCTGTTTTGATTCCAGTACCATGTTGATTTTAACCAGGGTTGCTTTGTAGTATAACTTCAAGTCAGGGATTGGGATGCCTCCTGCCTTGCCTTTGCTGCTTAGAACTGTCTTTGCTATTCTAGGTCTCTTCTGGTTTCAGATGAATTTCTCTAGATCTATGAGGTATGTTGATGGTATTTCTATTGGGATTGCATTGAATCTGTATAAGAGTTTTGGGAGAATGGCCATTTTCACAATGTTTGTTCTTCCTATCCATTAGCAAGGGATGTCTTTCCATTTTCTGAGATCCTCTTCAATTTCTCTTTTCAGTGGATTATAATTTT